CACACACACACACACACACACACACACACACACACATTATATATATATATATCAAGAATCGAGAGATAACCTACGGAGCTTTTAAAGGTGGAAAAAACGTTTGTTCGTTCGAATGAAAAAATGTTGATATAGGAGAGAGCCCTGTATTGCTACATTTGTGATGCTTCCGCAGAATCAGCAGATCGTAATTTAATTGTAACAATGCAGTATTGTGTGGAAATATTACATATATCCTAAACAAACCTCGTTGGTATCACTATCACATGCAGGGAAAATGTCTTTCTTTAATCCAGAACGCACAATATAAGAGCATGAGAGCATATATAGAGCGTATAACAAAGAAATCTAAAGCTATTGAATAACATTTGCACCTGCAAATCGAAAGAGTTCTGCTGATCTTTAAACATTCGTTCTCTGCGTATTGCGCTTCTTTGCTCCATTGCCACCACCGCTACAAATGCTGCTATATAAGCGCTTAGCCAGACAATTTGTGATGTATACATGTCTGACTGATTCTTACACCAAACACATAAAGCTACCTGCCCAAGAAAAACAGGATGTCAAAAAGTATGCTGTTTCCATCCCATATCCTTGAACTAGTGCAGATGTCAACGCGTGTCTTTTGTTGTAGATTCTGCCTTTATGCTAACACACAGTTTATGCATCTCCGAGTGAAGCTACGCCAGCTATCTAGCTGCCATAGGGTTAGTCAAAGTAAACATAAGCGTAGTAGCTTGGTGAATCGCAGAAAAATCCGCATCGTATGCGCACGCTACGCTGACGTCTGTTAATTGGCTTGACGAATCGCGCATAAACGGTACGACATGCCTAGGCCCAGTTTACGGCAGCCGGCTCTGTTGAGCACATTTGATCAATTTAGCCCCTGGATCCGTCCCTGCGTTGCACGCACGCCTCTATTCAACCCCCCTTTGAAATCTTCTGCTGAAACGCCACGCGATACCTAAAACGAGCATTATGTGGTTTATTTGAAACCCCGCAGTTAAAAACCCTCTCAGAACATCCCACTGCCCACATCAGGTCAATCGGATCGGATTGAGCAGTAAACCACGTGATCTGATTGATTCATCGGTCGTTAAGGATCAATTCATTGGTCCAATCAGATGAATTCGTTATATCAAATTAGATCGATTTATCGGGGAACTCAGATTGAGTCGTAACTAAAAGTGGATATGCTCACCAGTCAAATCAGATAGTTTCATCTCTCAAATCAGATAGGTTCATCAGTCAATTCAGATAGGTTCATCAATCAAAACAGGTTGGTTTATCAGTCAAATCTGATCTATTCATCAATCAAATCTGATCGATTCATCCGTCAAATCAGATCGATTCATCGGTGTCTTGCTTTCTCGCAGGTGATCGCCAACACTGTGCTGTTCGTGACGGCAGCCGTTGCCGGCGTGTTCACGCACTACCCGACAGAGGTCGCGCAGCGGCAAGCCTTCCTAGAGACGAGACGCTGCATCGAGGCGCGACTCATCTCACAGCGAGAGAACCAGCAGCAGGTAACGCATGGCGCAGACAGCGTAGACGTGCAGCCGGCTGAAAGGGGTGGTAGGATATGTTTACTAGGCACTTCTAATTTTAACATATATTTTACGATATATTAAAGAATGATGCAAAAACCCTAAATTGTGTGTGTGTGTGTGTGTGTGTGTGTGTGTGTGTGTGTGTGTGTGTGTGTGTATGTGTGTGTGCTTGTGCGTTGTCAATAACATAGATTGTTGATGGCACAAAAGTCGTGCGTCAGGTTGCCACATGATATGATTAATCTTTACTGCAACGTGGCTGAGTTTTTGTGTAACATGGTTAGTTAATAGCATGACCTGGGGCCGGATTCAAGAACAGTTCGTACGCACAACATCGTTCGTACGCACTGGTCGTCCGGGTTGCCGTATAACATGGCGAATTGTTGCGCGATATTATTAACGTACGCTGTTACGCTCGTCTCTCGTCTCAGGATCAGGGAGATCCGTAATGTGCTTTTCAATTATTCGACGAGCTGCTTAACGACACAGTGACAGACAGATGAAGACTAGTTTTAAGGATACTGTTAGGGTTGGGAGGTGATTTTCGGTCGAAATTTAAATTTCCACTTTATTTGATAGATCGCACCCATGGGCAGCTATGTATACGTAGAAATTATGTATGTAGCCTCCCAAACAGTTCCAAATACCCGCATTAGTCAATTCTTAATACATGCGTTCAATCATGGGAAATTTAGAAAAGTGCTAATATCGCCATTGTTAGAAATGCTGAAGTTGTTGATTTTTCAAACGCTATTTCGCACAACTCCAATTCCAATTTTTTTTCGTTACGTTTTAATGCTAACATATCAAAGGAAAAAAGAGTCCCTGGAATATTTTTTAATATTATATTTTATCAGTTATGGTTCTTTGTTTACGCAATTGTTGCGTTTTGAAAACCACTACACATTTTAGTACATCTTTTCAACTTATTTCCTAAATTAAAGCATTTAAATAAAATTCAAGGGAGCCTTTTTTAGTTTATACTATGAACAACTTATGGTTAAAAGTTTAGGTCCCAACTCTTTGCAGTTTCTGAGAAATAACAAAAAAACATTTTTTTTGTATAAATTCACAATTTTTGCCGTCACTTAATTAGCGATGAATCTTTTTAAATTTTTTTTATTCACAGCGTAGAGAGACATCTCTCTTATGTAATGGATATGAGTTTGATTGAATTTGATGAGCAGTTATGTTGCAATGCCCTTTACAGTGTTACTAGTCCGTAACCCTAGCAGTATCCTTAACAACATAAGAGCAGTGTGCAGTTGTGAATTGTTGAATGTGTGTGCATTGATATGCAGGTGAAACATATAAGCGCGCTAATATACTGGCGACATATGAGCCCAGAAGTTTCAGTCTTGGGCTTTCCTAGCGTGGACACCGCAGAGCTAGCTGCAGCGCCTCGATGGTCGTTGGATAAGTACAAGTAGTAATATTACAAGTATTATTACAAGTAGTAGTATTACAGCGTGACACTGCTTTGTTTCCGTTGTCAGGGGGCCGTTGTCAGAAACATCGTAAAATTTATGCTAATGATAATATTGTAGTTCGGTTTGAAGGGTGAAACCCTCAGCTCCGGCATCGTAGCAGCGTAGAGTTAGCAGATGGTAGGGATGTTCCATCGTAGCAGATTGTAGCATCGTAGAATTGCAGCAAGGAGTAGAGATGATGCAGTCGCAGAATTTGTTCTTGAAGACTGACTTTATTAGTAAACACAATACAAATATATACACTACGCATGGTTCGCACAGTCCTTGAAAAGTCCTTGAATTTGAGGGGAGTCCTTGAAAAGTACTTGAATTTAGTAAATGTTGATTTTGTGCTTGAAAAGTCCTTGAATTTCATGAAAATGTCCTTGAATTTTATGAAAATGTTCTTGAATTTTTAGAAAGAATCCTTGCCTGTAATAAAAATAAATTTTGTACCATCAATAATGTGCAAACCTCAATAAAAATTGCGTTAAATGAGCTTAAAAAGCTATAGACACGATAGACAGTTAAATGATGATCACAAATTACAGTAAGTCAGTAAAAGCAGTCAGTAAATCAAGGTATGTTGTAGAAGTGACAGTGTTTAGAAGGGTTTATTAATGTGATCCAGGTAAATTTTAGAGGTGACATGCAGTGATTAAGAATGGGGTTATTAAATTAATCCAGGTATGTTTTGTTCTGTGTATGAATTCCGATAAAATGTCTTTGAATTTCCGATAAAATGTCCTTGAAAAGTCCTTGAAAAGTCCTTGGAAAAAATTTCAGTCCTGTATGAACCATGCTACGGCAACCTAGGCACCCAAGCCTAGGCCCCGTGTCTCGTCTTCGTCTGCTACATCTTGATAGGAAAGTCCATGTAATAACTCCCGTATGATCTGGGTAATGACTAACGTATCTCCTCTGGGTAATAACTAACTTATGATCTTTCGTCCGTGTCTATTTATACGTTTCAGAAACTGCCCGGTGACATCTCAATCCGACCGGTTTTCGTCATTACCGGCTGGATTTTGGCGGGGTTATGGGACGCGTGAGGCTACGCATAAATATCGCGCCCTACGTCCCGTGTCATTACAAAAACAACAACGAACTACCAGGCCAGAGCCCAGGACAATTAGTCCCACTGCCTCGCCTGGTTAGAAGCGCCCCTGGTTAATTATAACGCACAATGTACAATACAACAATAATGCTAAGATAACACTTACGACTAATGTTAATGTTACGAGAGGAGCGTTACGAAACACATCGCAGCTATTAGAAAACTTACGATAACAGGAACTTCATCACAAGGCTGATGATTGGATGAGAATCGATCACAAAATTTAAATTCATACACATTTATTGTACATCACAGTAATTTATGCATATTATGATGGCTAACCACATATGAATATTATTTGATGAAAAACGACACGGTCTTGAATTTATTCTGCACAACAAGACAACTTCTCACACTGTAACACATGACACGAGAGTCGTGGTCAGTGTCAAAGTATTTAAAACAAGAGAACAAATGCCATACGCCATTTGTAAATGTTTTGTTTTGTTTTACGACCGGTAGATAATTAATGTTTTTGATGTGTTTTTCAAGAAAAACACATATTACTCATTATTATAAAATATAATATCTAATGTGTAACAATTAATAAGTAATATTAAAAGTAATCTAATATTAAATGTGTTATTTCATCTTAATATTAAAGTTATGAGAGGGTCTGGGCTCTCGTAATGTTAAGAGAATATTTGCGAGGATTTTTCATTCTCGTAACTTTGCGATGTTTCTGTCAACGGTTTACGAGTGGAAGTTAATGTTATGACTAATGTTAAGACTGATTTTGTTTCTGACAACGTGCTCCAGATCCTCTCTTTTGGCGACACGCGCCTCGACGTAAATGAAGCAGACGTTTGCACTGGGAGGGGGAGGGGGTGTTATAGCTTCTAGCTGGCTGCCGTGGGTGCCCTCTAAACCAGTGGTTCTTAACCTTTTTTGAGTCATTGACCCCTTTGAGAATCTGGTGAAAGCTACGGACCCATCCCCAGAAAAATATGTTTATGTGCACATAAGCACATAAACACAAAATTTTGCATGCAATGGGGTTCACGGACCCCCTGAAGCCCATCCACGGACCCCAAAGGGGTCCATGGACCACAGGTTAAGAACCCCTGCTCTAAACCATCGATTATCTGCTAGAAATCTCTGCCTCTCCCTTGGTTCACTTTCTCTCTCTTTCTCTCTTTCTCTCTTTCTCTCTCTCTCTCTCTTTCTCTCTCTCTCTCTCTTCCCTTCCTACTCCCTCCCTTTCTATCGCTCTCATTCCCTCCCGCGCTCTCTATTTCTCTTGACCACTCTCCCTCTCTTTTACCCGGTCTGCATTAATCACTCTCTTCTGCGCCCTTTCTTTTGCGCTCTTTTTTCTCTGTTTTCTATCTCTATATTTGTTCCCCTCCCGCATTGTCTCTCTCTCTATATACCTTTCCCCAGAGCATTCTGTATCCCACATATCTCTCGCTTTGTATATTTCCACCTCCTCTACCCTCCCGCTCAACCTCACTCTTACCTTCTCGATATGATTCTCTGTCCCACCTCTCGCTCCTCCTCTACCCCATTCGCTACTCCCCCCACCATCGTCTCTATCTTTCTCCTTTTGTGCGTTTTTAGCTCATCTGACATAGTCAGATGCAGCTTGTAGAATCGCTTGATCGTCCGTCCGTCCGTTTGTGTGTGTGTGTACGAGAACACACCTCTAGATCAGATACTGTTACAGATAAACGTAGCTTTCGCGGTGACGATCGCCTCTGATCATCATCTGGACTGTTGTGTTGTCTCGATGTTATTGTTGTTGTTGTTGTTGTTGTTGTTGTTGTTGCTGCTTCTGCTGTTGTTTTTGTTGTTTTGTTTTCGTAAATATCACTGCTGCTGTTGTTGTTTTTCGTTGTTGTGAATGTCACGGCTGCTGCTGTTGTTGTTGTTTTGTTGCTGTTGCTTTTGTTGTTTATTGCGGGGAAACGCGGTTTTTTCCATAAACTAGTGTCATCGCGAATTTTTCACACTTTCGACACTGACAACCGTTTTGTTGACTTTGGCATGAACGTGGTCCATGCAGCTACACGTAATAGCGTAATACTGCGTATATATAATAGCGTAATACGGTAATAGTGCGTGCAATGAGGGAAGCAGGGGTAAACAGGGAGGGCTAGGAAGCCAAACCAGCTTTCTCGGGGACAGAAGCAATAAGATAGTGCAGTTGGTGTGGGTGGGTGTGGAGCTGCTAGGGTTTCCTCGAGTTTCTGTCCTTGTGAGTAAGTATGCTGCCTGCTTTTCTCTCTGATAGAAACTACGTGCTGCCTGGCAAAGAAATGGTTAATTTCTAATCCTGTTAGATGGATGTCGATTTTTGGCGTTTTGGTGTAGCACTTCTGCATGATAAGCATTGGTGACATTGTGTTATTTGCAAAAAGATGATATTCAAGGTGACCGAGCTCAATGGAAACGCCATTATCGCGGGAAGATCAAATAATAACGGAAACGCGATACTGTTATGTTTTTGCTCCAAGGATATACAAACTTCATACACTGGTGATAAAAGCATTCACACGGCAAATCCACTGTGTCACGAAAAACACGCGCAGCGACACTCACGCAAACACGAGCGCGTGCGCATGCGTGCGCAATCACGTACACGCACGCGCACGCCCACACGCACGCACTCCAATACATAAGCACAAACTCACGCTATCACACGCGCACACACGCACGCACACGTATACGCAAGCACACACCTACATATCGCATTGCATTCAGCAAACCACTGCTCTCTCTTTTCTGCCTAGGCTGTATCACGTGAGTTGATATGCCGTCTGCGCTCATATATTAGTAATCTGCCGGAAATTGCTAGGTAATAAAGACGTGTAACTCTTAATTTCCTGCCTCATTCTCTGAAACTGTCTCATGTTGAAATCACAGCACTTGCCGTTACTATTTACTTTAATATTTACCAAGTTTCACCAGTGTATATCCATAGGTAGTGATTTTTCATAATATCATTTATCATATTTTATATATATTAATATATATTTCATTTTTATATTTTTCATAATATAATTCAGATGTGAGTAATCCAGTAAAGCGGGCAGCACACTTCACCATTTTCGTTGCTCGTACAGGCAAGTGTGCGGGGGCCGGCAACGACCACTCACCACGGAAATTTAGTGGTGACCACGAGTTGCCGAGAATCAAACCGGTTTGATTTCTCACCACGAAAATTGCTCGTGGTGGCAACTTGTGGTGAAGTGTGCTGTGACGCGGCATAGTAGCAGAAGGGCGTAGACATGCTGCTAGCCACTGTTTGCCCCCCCCCAAGAGCATTAAATGCAGTCGAGAATGCTGCTTGTAAGGGCTGTGACTGTAATCTGTGTGAGCGTACACCACGAACAGTACATCTATTAATGAGGATACCTTCCCTGCGCGCCCTGTATACACCTGCCTTCTATGGCTTCCTACAGCCTTTCATGGTAAACCATCAAGCGTCAGATGCACCTATACGCGAGCGAAGTTTTTCTGTAGCTTTTGCCCACACATATCGAACGATGGTACTCTGAAGCATGGTATATGTGGAAGGTATATTTCTTCTCTCGATAAATGTTTTGCCGGCGCGCACATCACATGTTTACTTGTAATTTTCGCTTCGTGTTTAGTTAGCACTCTGACCAGCAGTCCTTCTCCTGCACGTGTAATTATGATATGCTATCATGTATTGATGCCGCGTCGCCCGCGTGCTGCGGCCCTCCGGCTATGTAGCTTCGCAGCACGTCGCCGCATATAAGCATATTATCAGGAGTTAATGAAGACAAATTGTCTTCATTAAAGTTGTCTTCACAATTTGTCTTCATTAACTCCTGATATTATACATCACATATAGGTGTTGGCAACACGGTTTCTGTGGCAGAATATCTATCCCTCTATCTATCTACCTACCTATTCATTTATCTATATCTATCTATCTAGCTAGCTGGATATCTATCCAGCCATCCACATACACACACAAATATATATATATGGTAATGCGTATGTCCGTACGCAGGTTTACGTGTATGTACGACGTAGATATGACGTATATGAGATATGGCGATCGGCAGCATCAAAAGCTAGAATCAATGCCAAATGCCACGCTCGATTATGGTTTACTGCCGCTGTAGTTTGACCGTTTAGACGATACCTCTGGTTCGGTCTTGTTATAATATAAGAAAGCCATTATTGCTCTATCTTGTGGATTTCATTAATGTGATATAGGAAAGTTAGAACTTTAGTTGATTTAGTTAAGCAGAAACGCGGTAATTAACGACTGCTCGCTGTTTATCTGCATCTAGGAGCGCTTGCTGTTGTCGGTGTTGCCGAGGCACGTTGCCATGGAGATGAAGGCGGACATTGCCGGTGCGCCGAAAGACACGATGTTTCACAAGATATACATCCAGCGACATGACAGTGTCAGGTGGGCGATTTGTGTGTGTGCTTGTTATTGGTAAACACGTCCACATTGTTACACTTCGTAAAACGCATCGTAAAAAAACATTTGGCACTAAACATTGAGTCCATCGGGTTACAACGAAGACGGCGCGATAATCAATGTGTGTGTGTAATGCGTCGGTGAGCGAGTGAATTCACATTGCGGTGCGGGTGTACCCAGATCAGCTTTTTGCGCTCAGAATAGCATTTTGGAAAGAAATGTCTAACGATGATGTTTGGTATTTGGTTTCGTGAATTTGTTTTTCTATTCAATTTTACGCTATCGAATAGTAGTCGTGTGTTCGTCGCGTGCGTGGCCCAAGAAAGGATTTTCAAGAGATTCTATTAGGTAATGTATACATTGCATTACCTAATAGAATCTCTTGAAAATCCTTCGTAGGAAAGGAGAGGCGGTGATAATGACCAGGCTTGCCCAGGTGCTATCAATGCTAGCGGTAATGGCAAGCGTGCAGCTGTTACTTTGATTCGTCGCGAGAAATGAAAGAAAATTGACGTCTGTTTTTAAATCTTAAAAATTGTTAGGAAGCCGAACTACTTTCTGTTCGTCTCGCCCATTGTTGATGGTAGCTGATGGTTGAAAAGTTCCAGCTTACTGTAGTTACACAATTATTCGTGGTTAACTTGGGAATAAATTGTATGATATATGATAAATGTTAGTCTCATTTTGTACCAGCGTCGTTAGTTTGCAGTGAGAAATAATTTGTCATGGGTTAGATGGTTGCGGTTGCTGACGTTGGCGTTCCCAGTGATGGCGTATGTTCGTTCATATAAGCATCACGCCGGGAGCTCGTGATAGTTAAAGCGCGTTGCAACAGTAGAGGGCGTCCACAGGTAGCAGACATGAATCAGCATAATATCACACCTAATTAAAAATACTTAGAGTGTTTCGGCGCGTAGACGATATACACGTTATTCATGCTTAATAACCATGGATTCAAACACCATACCCGTCATACTAGCATCATATCCGTTTCACACACAAAACTGGTACTCATGGTTGTGTCACTTGTGAGAATAGCACAATTGCTCGAGTGCCACCGTGTGCGGGTGTGTGAGATTCCTGCTGAGCACGAAACTCACGTTCCGTGCTCAGCAGGAACTTCACCGTGTGCGGGGGCCTTACGCCGCCGTTAGGTCGGGTTGCGATTGAATGCGACGCGACGCGACGCACTGCAATTCACTGCGACTGAGTGCTTAGGTCGACGGCGACGCGACTGACAGCGACTGGTCGCAGGCAGTCGCAGACGGCGCTTTTCGACGATCGCCAACAGATCGCGCAACTAAATGAGTTTACATGACTTGTTGCTGTGTGCATGTTGTGTATATGACTGCATGCACTGATTCTTTTATTCGCATGCATTGTTGATTATGCATACGAATCTCGTCGCAGCGATCGCAAGGCAGCTGATGTCGGGTAGACCGGTGGAACTAGTCGCGTCGCATCGCAAAAGTAGAACATACATGTGCGACTCACTGCGACTGACAGACAATTTTCCAGTCGCTTTTTTTCCAGTTAACAGTTCACAATTTTCCAGTTAAGCTACCACGATCAGCGCTGCAATACAGGCATTGGTTTCAGCCGTTTCGCACACACCTGCAACTCATGCAATGAGAGTTTCTGTTGTTCTGTTTCCTTGGACGGCGAAAAGGTGGAAGCCCAGCGCAAAGCCCCGATTTAGCTGTAACATGCTGCTGAATGCTAGAGCCGTGTACACATTTAATGCAATTCCGCTATTAACCGTAGCATTGTATTCGCCAGGAACTGGTCGTGAACCGTGGATAGGAAGTTGGGTATTTTACTTCGCGTTTCGAATGCAATCGTCTCGTTCTGTTAAAACCGATTGAAACTAATCTGGTATTTTCGCAGCGAAGTCTTCGCTGTTGCGTGGCGAAGAGAAGTGGTACGTGAGATAATGCGTGCGAGTGAGAGAGAGCGCGATAAGGGAGAGAGAGCGCGATAAGGGAGAGAGAGCGCGATAAGGGAGAGAGGGAGATGTAGAGAAAGAAAGAAGGAAAAGTGACAAAAGAGAAGAAGGATAAAGAGAGAGTGATATATATATATATAGAGAGAGAGAGAGGGGGAGAGCGAGAAAGAGAGAGAGAGAGAGAGGGGGCCCGAGAGAGGAAGACAGAGAGAAAGAAAGGGAGAGAGGGAGAAGAGGATGTGAAAGGGAGATGGCGCTGTTTGGGTAACGCACTAGTGATTTGCACCTTGAAATCGTAGTGCAGCGTCGGACATTTTGGATACCAAACAGGCGTGTTATGCCGCGCCGTTATTACAGCTATAGGCTTTACATTGCTTGCTTCGCCACGTTTCATTCCAGTTTGTACGGACCGCTTGCACACCCGTCAATGTATCCGATATACGTCATTGCTCACTCACTCACTCACTCAATCACACACTCACTCACTCACTCACTCACTCATTCACTCACTCACTCACTCAATCACACACTCACTCACTCACTCACTCACTCATTCACTCACTCACTCACTCATACCCCGTACAGACTTCAAAATTTGATCCTACATTAAACTAGTCCGGGCCAATCGCGCGTCAAATCGTAGCCGCCGTACAGACACAAAATTTTATGCTATATCAAATGAGTCACGGGTTGACTGTGCATGCTCAGTTCAACTCGCTACGTCACCCCGCAGACAGCTATTGTACTTTTATGTGACCTAAATACGGCTATGCGCATGCGTATTGCGAAATAGCACCGGATTTGGCCCGCGTGTTGCGTACAGACACAGCTTGGAGCGGGATAACTTATCCCGGGCCAAGTTTGAAGTTATCCCGGTCCTGGCCCTCCTTCATTTGCGGGGCCAAACTGGTGCGGGCCAGCGCGTATTTGGAGCGGGATAGCGTGTACACACTGGAAACGATTTGACGCGCTCCTGGCCCGGACCAGTTTGATGTAGGATCAAATCTGCAGTCTGTACGGTGTCAATGACGCAGCGTCCATCTTGTATGGTTAAAATCAAGGTAAACGCCTAAAACGCGGCGTGCCTCTCCCAGTGTTCTCCAAAGCAAACACCCGGCTGCCTATCGCGCCTGCGTATACCTGTTATTACAGCGTGCATGTGAACAACGGGTGTCGATATGGTAGCCAATAGCTAGATAGCTAGCTATACCCTGGCTGCGAAACGGGGTTATCAGGCACGCGCAACGAGAAATTGGTTTATTATGCACACGCGGGACACGAGGCGAGCGAGAACAATAGGAGAGCACGCTTACGCGTTTACCTGGGCAGGTGAACGCTCCACAATTCCTTCCTAACGAACCCAAGTATAGTTGCCCTTGCTAATCACGCGTGCCCACAGCATGCGTTCACACTTCTCAATGATCGTATTGTCGCGCTGACCTCGGGCGATATTATCGGCAAGCAATCAGACCGCTGCAGTGCTGACTGCCATCAACAGCTATAGCGCGCATTGCTCACGTTTTGCGCTCTAATTGGAAGACTTAGTGTGTAATCTACGAGAGATATGTTAATCACGCGATTGAATGCGAGCACGGTATTGTAGTTCGTTGATGAAGTGACGAAGTTATAAATCTTCGCCGTGCGGTCCATGCAGCTTCCCAGCGTTGACCTACCGCCAATCTTCTGTCCGCCCCAAGCAATTACCACCAAGGTCCCTGCCGAACCTACCGTACCCTACCTACCCGATAGGGCGAACCTCCGACGTATATATATATATATATCCCACCCTCCCCCTACCCTCCATCTGCGATAGTGGGCGTGTCCTAACAATGATGTGTACGCAACTGCGTGTCTGCATATCTGCGCCTAACAAATGTGGTACTACGCACGACTGAAATTTTACGTTTATAATCGTAGCAACAGACCTCAGATGAGCCCAGACGCTCTGCGGCTCTTGTTACGTTCTTCGATTGATCGACTTTCTGAGTTTCTCAATTGCAATGATTACGCCTTGAGCACACTGCGCCGTTCTCATTTGGCGGTAGTCGCTGATCATCACGGTTAACTGTTTCAAGTCACGTGTAGTGGACACATGTATCGTGTTCACGCAGCAATGCTGTAGTACTAGTGCCACTGCCGGCGGAAAACAACGATGAACGCGCGAGAAAAGTACCCAGTGAACGAAAGAAGTAGCGAAAGCGCTTCTGTTCTGTTCTGTTCTGTTCTGATTATTTATGTTCAGTTCTGTTTTCTGAGCTGTTCTTGTCTGTTCTGTTCCATTCTGTTCTATTATGTTCTCTTCTTTTCGCTTCTTTTCTCTTTTCTCTCATGTTCTCTTCTCTTCTCTTTTAGTATGCCCTGTTTTGTTCTGTTTTGTTCTGTTTTTTGTTCTGTTCTGTTCTTTTCTGTTCTGTTTTGAAAAGACGACTTCTAACGTCTGTACCACCGAGCTGTCGCGGAAGGCCTGTAAATTGTTGCGGTGGAAGAATGCATAGGAGAATTCGTACTGGCAGGCTTCTATATGTACCGAGGTACGGTATACCGATGCGTTCACTATAAAGTCGTCCACGTGTTTTACCTGTGCGGCCTCTCGCTGACGTCTTTGTACTGGGCGCGGGGGGGGGGCAAGAACACAACAGTTTACGCAGGGATATCCTCCCACCCATCAGAAACAACCGTTCGCGATACCTTCTCCCTACTTTCTTCCTAGCCTCCGTGCCTCCTTCCGTTACTAGCTAGCATGTACTTGTACCAGCTTTTGTAGTCGTTACTATACTTCATAGGTAGATCTGCTCACCGGTCAGTGCTACACTGAGTTATAGCGAGTGAACAACGATTCAGTTGTTCACTGAATAATTAATACACGTTACTTATCCTTGACTTTACTCGGCGAGAACACGTCAGTGCGATGTGCGATGAGAGAACGCCCGGATTAACTAATATTACAATAGGCTATCCTTTGGCTTTCTTCATTAGAAACGGCTGCCTACAATGCTGCTTTCATGAAGCCATACCGTCTGACGTTACGATGCTGCTGTCG